TTGAACGCTAGTCGTCGTTAGACATCGCGCATTTCACTAATTTCCGCCATTCGGTGCGTTTTTGAGCAAGTGCGTGCATAGACCCGTGTGTGAAAAATCTTGTTTCCTTCATGATGTTGGCCATCCATGATGTTGTCGGCCGCCCCTGCGGACGTTTTACCTTTCGCTCTGCTTCGTGGTATGCCATTCTAGCTGGAGTGTGTTCATCTAAGCGGAGCAGGTGCCCATACCATATCAGAATTCTTTTCTTTACTTTCTTACTCCATTCTTCTTCCCCTGTCTTTCTATATAACTCGTCATTCCTTATTTTCTCTAGCCACTTTATACCTAATATTCTTCGTAGAAACTTTCGTTGGAACACATCTATTTCATTCTCTAACAATTTGGTAATTGTCCAGAGTTCGCTGTTGTATAGGCAGATACTGGTGACATATACATTGAAGACTCTTACTTTCAATTTGGTTGTTATTTTCTTATTTTGGAGTATACCACTTATTTTAGAGAATGCTGCTAGAGAGAGGTGTTTTCTGTTACTGATGTCTGATGTCTTCTCTTGTTCCCAACTTGCTGCCTAGAAATTTACAATTTCGCCAATCTTCATTTCCTTTCCTTTGTATGGTATACTCTTCCGTTTTGGATGCGTTTACTGTTAAGTTGTAGTCTCTAAGTTGAGGTGGCAGTTCTTTCTTTATTTCGTTTACGTATTCTTGTGATATAGATATCCATGAAATGTCGTCGGCATATTGAAGGCTCAATGTGAAATTGTATGTCTGATATTGTTGTTGTTGTTCATATGTTTGTAATATGCATGCTAAGTATGTGGTGAAGAGGATAGGGCTAAGGCAATCTCCTTGTGGAACCCCAATATTTGATATAATAGGGTCACCTAACTCCTTTGCTATCCTTACTTTAAGTTCTACTTGTTTTATTAATATTTTAATGAGGTTTAGTTCTTCAGGTTCTAGATTTTGTGATATAATCTCGATGAGTTTTTTTCCTATTCACTCTATCAAAAGCGCTGCTCATGTCTAGCATAAGAAGAGTAAGCTTGTACTCAGATGAGGTAATGGCTTTCTCTGCGAGGGTTCTGAGAGCAAATACATGTTCGGTAACACTTCTCCCTTTGGTGTATGCTGCTTGAGAGAGCGGTATAACGCTCCTAGGTTTATCCCCTATCCTCTGTATAAGACATAGCTAAAATCTTTCTGATGGTGTTCAAAAGAACAACTGGCCTGAGGTTTTTGACAATACCTTT